GACGTCAACTTGACTTACACAGCAACTGCATAGTAATATTCTTAACCCCGCCCCTCTTACTGTTAGTTTTCTTTGAGAGAATAATGTGAAAAAGAAAGCTCCGCCCCCTACTCAATATTCTGTTTCAGTTGAAAGTATAACAAACTGAAATAAAAGTCTCAGAAACCTCCAGTTTGAATTAATTTTAAGATTGTAGTATCCCAAAAACTATTACTTACCACTTATCACTTATTTTCTCTAATGCCGAGTTCAGACTGCATGGTTTTCAAAGTAGTCGTGTCACGGATGTTTTCACACTGCATGACTGTCTGGGACAGCATTCTGTTGGTGGTGTGTTTACACTGCAAGATGGATCGGCGACAAAGGGTTTCAAACTGCATGACTTTACAATAGGAAGAATCGCCGACAACTTTGTCTAAACTACGTTTCACAAACAAACACAGACGAGTAGTGACATGGAAACACGAGGTCACGTAGTAGCCTATATATTTTATTATTAACTACATAATGAGAAAGAAGACTTTAGTGGGGTAGAAAATCTACTTATTTTACTCACATGACTTTAAAGGGAACTAACATTAGCAATTTCTCTCAAACTTTTTATTTTTTTCAATCAGAGTTGACCATACTGGGCTTTTCAGGAGGCTCGTTGTAAAAACCAGAACCCAATCAGACAGAGTTTTAGACTGGGAATAAATTTGTTACAATAAAGTACAACATGTGACAAAAAAATAAATTAAACTAAAACATGAAAGCATATTGACGCTTGTGAAAATTATGACCTTATAAAATATCAACATATTTCCTTTTTAAGCTAAATTATTTACATATATATATATATACAGTTGAACAGACCTTTTAATTTATTAGCCCACCTGTAAATTGTCCCTGAATCTTAATAATATTAATATTAATAGGGGGTGTTGTGGAAAAAAGATTCTGGTCTGCAAAAATATTCTAAGTCTTTAAGTCAAACTTTTCAAAAAATGACAAAGTCTGAGATCTTCGAAGTCTTTAGACGAAGCAGTTTATTGTTACAGCATCAGTAACAACAGAGACAGGTCGTTCGAGTGTCTGCATACAGTTTAAATACATCTCTGTGTCCTAATACTCCACCCTAATTTACACATTACACACCTCCATCAGCTTCTCCGCTAATGGGATCTTAACTCTCTTAGGTGCCCGCCACCAATAAAGTCTCAGGGTCTTTTAGGGGTCTTATCCATTTCCAGTTAAGGTCTTTCCTTCCTGCTTCAAAAGCGATGACTCAGCCAAAAAACAATCCTCAACAATACATCTTGTTCACTGTCCACTGAACTGTCAACTGTAAGTTCAGCTGAAGTTCATAAGTGCTCATAATTCTTTAGATGTCAGTACAAGTGTGTGGGCACACGTGCAGGTGTGCTTTATCATGAGTTACAGAACAGAACGCAGGTGTCCTTATGGCCTTGCTTCCATAGATCAACCCTCATTGTGACATTAATGCTGCTCTTCTAATTTATCTTCTCATCTCTGACTGCATTTACACAGAATTACTTTTTTATTTACCAAAGCACACATACCTGATAATAATGCCACAGGTATGGGTAATACTATAATAGATAATAATACTGAAATCACTCAAATAAGCATATAAATGAGAGTAATACATTCATCAGAAATTCATCAAGACACAATGAAATCCCTAACAGGGGTTAATAATATTAACCTTAAAAGTGATTAAAAAAAATTAAAAACTGCTTTTTATTCTAGCCAAAAAAAAACAAATAAGACTTTCTACAGAAGAAAAAAATATTATAGGAAATTCTGTGAAAAAGTCCTTGCTCTGTTAAACATCATTTGGAAAATATTTTAAAAAAGAAAAAACTAAATCACAGGAGGGCTTATAACTTTGACTTCAGCTGATTATTACTACTAACTGTTGCTGTCCTTGCAGATATGTTCTGGATGATGAATACACCAGCTCTGTCGGATCAAAGTTTCCAGTGCGCTGGTCACCTCCTGAAGTCCTCCTTTACTGCAAGTTCAGCAGCAAGTCAGACATCTGGGCATTTGGTGTGTCACAGCTACATTTTCAGCATAGATTACCTTCAGTCAATAAAACAGTGCTAATTATTGTTTATTATCTCTCTGACAGGCGTTTTGATGTGGGAGATTTACACTCAGGGCAGAATGCCGTACGATCGGTGGAACAACACAGAGATTGTGGAGAAGATTTCTGCAGGTCACCGGCTTTATCGTCCACAAATGGCCAATGAAAATGTCTTTGCCATTATGAACAGCTGTTGGCATGAGGTATATATAGCTGTGTGTGTATACTGCACATTTTTTGAATCTAATATCTTATCTGATAATTCAAATGTGATATGACAAACTAAAGAGTTTGCCCTTTTTTGCAGAGACCCGATGAGAGGCCCACGTTCAAGGAACTTGTTGAGGTCATCAAGGATTTGCTTTTCAGTATGCAAGAGATATAGCTACTGTGCATCTGTAGACATGTAGGATACAGTCCACCTAATGCAATCAAGAATCGTTATGAAAGCTGTCTTGAATAACCTTCTCAGTTCATTTCTTTTACCTGAGAAACCCAGTAATGTGAACGATGAGTTACATACTTTTTCATATATTAGTGTAAGTTTGAAACATTGCAAAAACAGGAGATTGAAATGTGATTTCTCATTAGATATTTCACCCCCCCCCCCCTCCTCTTCCTGCATTTTCCTCAAAGCTCTGCTGTATTTATAAAATTTCTTTCAGTTTCATCTAAAAATAAAATGTACTTTTTAATATCACAATTATAATAACAAGCAACATTAACAGTAAAAACTATGCATGCGTATGCATAATGCCTGTGTGTTGATTTTTGTTGATTTGGCTGTGTATTGATATACTAAATATATAAGTTTAACTTAGTACAATGTAAAACAAAGTGTGATCTAGAATAAATCTAGTGTAAATATATCTGTGTATATTTTATTAAAAACACATTCTCTCCTGTGAATGAAATCTGAGGGGTATTTAATTAAAGACTACACTTCATCTTCTTCATTTAGCTGTGTACTGAATAAAATAAGAGCAGTTTCCAGTATTTGACTGGCTTTTTATCACATTTCTATCACTTTATTCCATTAAAATTGCATTATGACAGCAAACACATGTTTGAGATTGTTTTACACGGCAGCATAATTTGATAAACATTATCCTACATTACATAAAAACTAACTAACTGTAAAATGGCCTCAAAAATAATCCATTCTATCCATGTTACACACGTTTATTTTATATCAACTGACTTGTATAATGGGCGAGGTATTGGCGCAGTAGGTAGTGCTGTCGCCTCACAGCAAGAAGGTCGCTGGTTTGAACCTTTGGCTCAGTTGGCGTTTCTGTGTGGAGTTTGCATGTTCTCCCTTCCTTCGCGTGGGTTTCCTCCGGGTGTTCCGGTTTCCCCCACAGTCCAAAGACATGCAGTACAGGTGAATTGGGTAGGCTAAATTGTCCGTAGTGTATAAGTGTTTGTGTGGATGTTTCCCAGAGATGGGTTGCGGCTGGATGGGCATCCGCTGCGTAAAAACTTGCTGGATAAGTTGGCGGTTCATTCCGCTGTGGCGACCCCGGATTAATAAAGGGACCAAGCTGACAAGAAAAGGAATGAATGAATGACTTGTACCATATTGATTTTACATTCATTCATTCATTTTCTTTTTGGCTTAGTGCCTTTATTAATCATGCCACAGCGGAATGAACCTCCAACTTATCCTGCATGCGTTTTACGTAGCAGATACTCTTCCAGCCAAAACCCAACACTGGAAAACACTCAAACACTTTTGCATTCACACCCACACATACACTATAGCCAATTTAGCTTATTCAATTCACATATAACGCATTTCTTTGGACTGTGGGGGAAACCAGAGCATGCGGAGGAAACCCACACCAACACGGGGAGAACATGCAAACTCCACACAGAAATGCCAACAGGTCCAGCCAGGGCTCGAACGAGTGACCAACCTGCTGTGAGTTGACAGTGCTAACCACTGAGCCACCTTGCCACCCTGTTTAACAGCATTTGTGTGAAACAATACAGACTCCAATGTTTATACTTACATCATGACCTTGGCCTCTTCAATAAAGTCATCATGTCATGACCGCCTTGCCATTTCCCATACTTTACCACACCAAACTGTCCATTGCCAAGTTCTCTGATAAATGTAAGCTGGCGTGGATCGATCTCCCAAGATCCTAAAATGACAACAGGAGGAGAAGAGCAACCATTACCGCACAAATTTTCATTAAAAAATATAAAAGTCAAGTAAATGCTTTTTGTAAACATATACATGTAGTTCTTGGGGATTTAACCAATCCCAGCAGCCACCGGACATCACACAGACATAAAATTGACGTTAGACTCCAAAATCAGACTAACTTTGGATTTTGGTTGTAGCCTATATGAAAACATCAGCTTGAGATCAAACTTCAACGTCAAGATACACAACACAAAATCAATCAAAGGTCAATGGCTAATGATGTTCATGCCACCTCTAGCAAGATGCCGCCCATGCAATTGCCCATGCCCAAATCTGCCACTGTATGTGTTTGACTGCTTACTCCTTCACATATAGTTTAGCTTACGTTTAAACTCAAGAAAGCAGCAGAGGGGTTTCACAAAAGATAAAGTAAACAACTGTACAATGTAAAAACGTCTATCCATGTTGCACAATTGCATTTTATATCAATTATTGTTTAAAATGTTAATAGCAATTTTAAAAGGTATAAAGTCATTTAAACATTTGATATTAATCTTTATTGTGCAGACTTAGACTGCTTACTGCCTCTACATATAGTTTAGGTTGTGTTTAAACTCAAGAAAGTAGCACAGGGGTTTCACGAACAAACTAGAAAATTCCCCACCCACCCAAAAACGCGTTGAAAATGCACAGAGAGGATTTGACAGCTCAGAGGTTAAACAGCAATATCTGGCAACATGCTTCACATTCACTTCTTCCAGGAAGTTTATTCACACAAGACTTAAAACGCCACCGATGGACGAAACGAAGGCAAGGTTGGTTGATTTAAGACTACAGTAACATGTATTTCTTTTAAAGGTTTTAATAGTACAGCTTTGAATGTGATTATAAATAAGCGACGTAACGTAAAACAACAACGTCAGTTAAGTAAATCCCATTAAGCTTATTTCGCAAAAAAATCTACCTTAAAAAGCGTTCTCGCTTATAAATATTAGTGATTAAAGCATTCAATGCAGTTATAAAAGTTTAATGGAGATGGACAAAATTGGTTTGAAGAACTAACGACGAGAAAAGCAGCAGTGAGTCACATGATTTGCTTTCTTTTTATCCTGTCAGTGTTTTAAATCGTGATATGTTCCCTACATAGACATCACTGAGACGCGTTCTATCGTTTCATATGATGGTCGAAATGCTACCTAGGTAGGCAGCTCGCTAGGTTTTTAGACAGATTTCATCGATATAACTTTAATATCTTACGGGATTTTGTTCTAACTGCATTTAGATGGATGTTGCAAACCGCTCGGACTTTTACATTGGTCTGGCGCTTGCTGTAAGCTCCACTATCTTCATCGGTGGCAGTTTTATATTGAAAAAGAAGGGGCTCCTACGTCTGGCAACAAAGGGCTCCACTAGAGCAGGTGGGTATAATGCATGTTTCCCTTACATATACAATACTTGTATATATGAAATGCATTGATTTTTGTTTTGTTTTTGTCTGTTTCACTTTAAGGTCAAGGAGGATATGCATACCTGAAAGAATGGTTGTGGTGGGCAGGACTAATATCAAGTATGATATAATTGCTCTATGTTTTTATTTACCATTAGTGAAGATGAATTATAATGTTTAAACAGAATATGTTTTGAATCAGACGTTGCATGTGTCCGTGATTGGGGATTTCAAAAATGTGATATTGGTATCTATGCATTAATATATTATTATGGACACCACAGAAACTTTTTGTTTGTGTGTGTGCGCATTTCATTTTCAGTGGGAATTGGCGAGGCTGCAAATTTTGCAGCATATGCATTTGCACCTGCTACATTAGTAACACCACTGGGAGCACTGAGTGTATTGGTCAGGTAAATATCTTGATTTATAATATTTCCAAATATTTAATGCTTTCTGTTTTGATCAATTTTACAGTTTAATTTTACAGTAATTTATTTCTGCGTTAGAAAAGATTAATCTTTTGTGTCGCACAATTCTTCAAAAATCATTGCAATTGATCACAATAGTTGGTTTTTGGAAGTTAAAACCTCCTTCATATCCTCCAGAGGGAAACTATTTAAATTAACTGTTCATTCTTTAAAGAAATACCAACCATGAATTAAAAAAATCTATGCTACCAGCTATGTAAAATACTAATTGTTTTGTTTTGTTTTTTCAGGATTTTTCACTAAATAGAAAGCAAATACTCTATTTGTTATTAATCGCAATATTTTTCCAAACTCTGTCAATCAGTAAAATGCATGCTTGCAGGTTAAATGCAATAACAATCATTTTTATAATTCTTGGACAATCTCAAACAACATTTCATTTATTATTATTTTATTTAATAATTTTTTTGTCAGTGCGGTGCTCTCATCATATTTCCTGAGTGAACGACTGAATATCCATGGCAAGATTGGCTGTTTGCTGTGCATCTTCGGCTCTACGGTTATGGTGCTCCATGCTCCACAAGAGGAAGAAGTTGCTTCTTTATCTGCAATGGCAGAGAAACTCAAAGATCCAGGTAATGTCCAGTTGAATGTAACCCTTTACAGTGCAGCATGTATAAGTACACCCCTCACAAATCTATCTTTTAAATTCATATTTTTAATAGTAGCTATACAATATTATATTTGTGCAAATACATTAGATTAGTCAGTACTGAAGCCAAATCTGGAGCTTATCTAACAAATAGCTTGCAATAACGGTCCAAAAACTAGTACACCCACATTTATATGTTAGAAAGACATCAAGAGAAGCAAAAAAATAGGTTGTAATTTTTTTTTGTGCAATATTTTGCTTGAATTTTTTTCTTTCAACCTTTAAATTTCTAAACATGTATGGTGACTAAAATACTGTTTAAATAAATATATCTGTTTTATAAATTAGTTTTGTTTAAATGCACCGACATGGGGCGACGCAGTAGCGCAGTAGGTAGTGCTGTCGCCTCACAGCAAGAAGGTCACTGGGTTGCTGGTTCGAACCTCGGCTCAGTTGGCGTTTCTGTGTGGAGTTTGCAATTGGGAAGGCTAAATTGTCCTTAGTGTGTGTGTGTGTGTGTTGATGTTTCCCAGAGATGGGTTGCGGCTGGAAGGGCATCCGCTGCATAAAAACGTGCTGGATAAGTTTTCGGTTCATTCCGCTGTGGCGACCCCGGATTAATAAAGGGACTAAGCCAGCAAGAAAATGAATGAATCAATAAATGCACCAAAATACGCTACATTGCATATTAGGGATGCAACGATTATACATTTTGGTTGTACTATTATATATTAAGAAATAATCACGGTTTCACGGTTATCACTGTCTCTCCACTCCCCTAATAGCTGGTGTGTGGTAAGTGCAATGGCGCTGTTGTCCTGTGGCTGCCATCACATCATCCAAGTGGATGTTGCACATTGGTGGTGGTGTGGAGAGAACAGATACATTTATTCGCACTTGGTCACCATATCTGGACAATATAAACCTTGCTTTATGTGACAATTTGAAGCTGGGAATGACATAATGCATAAATAGACATTCATTCATATGTATTCTGTTTTCATCAAACTTTTAACTCTTCCTGCCATATTGTAATATTTGTAACATAATAGCTTATGGCTTTGTCCATATGTGTTTTAGTAAATGCAGTTATGTTTTGTGTCAGGCATTTTATGTTGTGTTTGTATTTTTGTTTTGTGTATGTCTTAAAAGAAAAAGAAAAAAAACATGTTAAAAAAAAAACCACAGTAACAAAAGATGACTTCCCTCACATTAGATTGTATGTTTTCTTGCACAACTAGATGTTGAACTCATGAAAAATAATTGTGTGCATTGGCCAAAACTGATTAGCTGAGGTCACACCGAAGTGACAGCCAACAGAGGATTCCTCTTGGTCTTAAAATCTTTTTTGATGAGTTATTTTCACAATTTATGATTGCAAAGCAATCAAAATAGGACAAATGAGCTCATGTATGGGACGAATTCTGGACTTTTGTCTGTAGCTATGTTTCCATCCACCTATTTTATGCACATTTTGTAAATGCGCTTAAAAAAAACAGTTGATGGAAACGCCATGATGCGCATAAATTCTGAAAATGCACATAAAAAACTTATGCGCCTAACTGGGTAGGATAAACTTTTTATTCGATAAGAAAAGATGCGCATAAACTGCGATGGAAACACTTTTACAGCACAAACTCCAGCATGCGCATTAAAAAAGGTCATGTGATTTTGTTGAAAGAGATCATGTAAAGCATTAAAATGTGTGTGAATGGATAAAACGTCAGGCTGAGCACATTATAAAACATCTGAAATGTTGTTTTGGTCATTATAAAACGCCTTACCGTTTCAGTATTAATGTCATTATATTATTAATGACCTCCAGAATCAAGAGCGATTGTGCTTCACGTCTGACACCTTCAAACACCACTGCGCGCTCAATGCTTGTCATGATTGTCTTCTGAGGCGCATTCATTTAGAAAAGATTGATGCAGCTTCTCCTATTGCAGCAAATGCAGTTTTTACTGTTGATATTTGGCGCGAGTTAATCAGGAAGTGACGATTTTGTTCACTTAGACTCGTTGGATGGAAACAATCCTTCATTCGCACAACTTTTATGCGATAATCGAGTTTTGCGCATAAAGTTTATTCGCATTTTTGGTTGGAAACATAGCTACTGAGGGGTGGGTCTTTCGAACCACCCGAAGGCCCCGGACTACAGGCCTGAGTTATCATATCGGCCAAATTACCACTACAGTACGCTTCTGTTTCTCATTCTAGTCATTTCTTTTTTTTCTCTCATGACCCTCAGGATTTATTGCGTTTGCTGTCTGCATCGTCGTGAGCAGCCTGGTCCTGATTATCTTCGTCGCTCCTCGCTATGGTCAGAAGAATGTTCTGGTCTACATCCTCATCTGCTCTGTCATTGGTTCATTATCAGTGTCTTGCGTGAAAGGCCTCGGCATCGGCATCAAAGAGCTGTTTGGTGGAACGGCAGTACTCAAAGATCCACTCTTCTGGGCTTTGCTCATATGCCTCGTGGTCTGCATCAGCATCCAGATCAGCTATCTAAATAAAGCCTTGGACATCTTTAACACCTCGATAGTCACACCTATTTATTACGTCTTCTTCACCACATCTGTCATGGCCTGTTCAGCCATTTTGTTTAAAGAGTGGCTTCGGATGTCCACCGATGGGGCTGCTGGGACTGTCAGTGGCTTTCTTACCATCATCATTGGTATTTTCCTTCTGCACGCGTTTAAAGATATTAACTTTAGCTTAGATTCTCTTCCTTTGTATCTGCATCATGGACTTCGAGGCCAGGCGTATGTCGCTTTGCCCACCGATGAGAGAATTGATGAAAGCAGTCTGACTAAAGAAAGAAGTGCAACGTTTTTTCCTGAGAGTTCAGACAAGAGGAGCAATGGCACCTTTATTGCCTAGTTAATAATGCTTGATGCTAGTGACTGCAGTGTGCAGCTTATTTTGCAAACCATTCACACTGTGAGGGTGCTTTAATTAGGCTTTTATTATGTATTTTGGGGTACTTTTACATGATAAAAATTGATTTAAAATATTAAAAGTTTTAATAATCCATTAGATTAACATATTAGTTAAGGGTTCCACTTCTATTATTTATAAGTTAATAATAAAACAGACATCTTCCGCCATAAATAACATTAAGAAAGCCTGGGAGGAGGACTCTCAGATGATATGTGGAGTGGCGTTCTCAGTCAGGTTCACTCATTATCCATTTGTGCTCGACATTCTCTTCCTCAGTTTAAAATAGTACATAGAGCTCGTATATCTAAAGTTAAATTAGCTTAAATGTTTTCTGGTCTACTTTAATGCAGTGGTTCCCAACCTTCTTTTGCCGGAGACCCACTTTTCCTCTGGAAAATGTTATAAGGCCCCGCTCAACATTTAATGATATTATCGCTCATATAAGTTTGCAGTAAGGATGATAAAAGAATGTTGTTCTCAAACAAATGTTATGCTCATTACTATATCTAGATTTGTTTATGCACAAATAATAGCCTAATGTAAACAAAGGCTTTTTAACTGAAAAATATAAGCCTTTGGCCTTTAAATTGGCCACATATTGTAATTGCAAATTTTTTTAAAGTTTATTGTCAGTAGCTGTGACGTCCCTTATCTCATTTTGGGTGTGCCAATTCTTTTGCCTTGCGCTCAAAAAATACTCTAAGCTTGTCACAGTACTTAGGATGGATGAGTCGTCTGCAAATATCTTATTAATTTGGACGGCCTCATGCATTCTTTAGCAAAAACTCTGGTGCAGATAATACACTGTGGCTGGGTCAGGAACTCTTTGCTTAGAGAAAATGGAATAAAACTATAGGTCAGCTAACTATCTTGGTATTTCCTGCATTTCATGTTTCAAATATTGCTAGAGCTGCGATCCGAAATGCTTAGAGCTCCCTCACCTGGGTCCAGTATGCTTGGGTTATTACTATTAGCTGCTGAAGGGAATCAGTGAGATCCTTTTTGTGGAAGATGAATTACAAATTTGTCCATTTTTTTGGTCAGCCAGGGGATAAAATGAACTAAAGCAACATGATCAAACACACATGATCGTGAGCACATTTTGGATTTGCCCTAAATTTGAAAAGTTTTGGAGATCAATATTTGGTAACCTTTCTGTTGTGCTTCAATATAGATTAGAGCCAGAACCACTGACTTGTGGCAATATTTGGAATCGTCCCAGCAGACTCATGTTTACTTGCTTAAAAGAGTAAGATTCTTGCCTCCTCTGGAAAGATTCCCTTCCACCCACCTTTGTTCAATGGATCAGAGAGATTATGTCTTGTCTTTACCTTGAAAAAATTAGATGCTTTTTAAGAGGATCAGGTAAATAATTCTATAAGATATGGCAGCCTTTTATTAATTATGTTGACTATATTAATTAATGCCCGACAAATATAAATGTATATATTTTTTCTGTTTTGTTTTTTACATTTACATTTAGTCATTTAGCAGATGCTTTTATCCAAAGTGACTTACAAATGAGGACTAGGAAGCAATTTACACAACTATAAGAGCAACAATGAGTAAGTGCTACAGGCAAGTTTCAGGTGTGTAAAGAAAGTGTAAGAAGCAAAATATTAGTAAGTTTTTTTTTTTTGTTTTTTTTTTAGTTAGTGGAGGAGTCAGAGAGGGAATTGCATTTTAGTAAGGAAAGTGGAGACTAAATATTTATTATTATCTTTATAAACATTGCTGTGGGGGCGACACAGTCGTGCAATTTAAGTCATTTATTATTTCTGAGTTTGCATGTTCAATTCAATTCACCTTTATTTGTACAGCGCTTTTACAATGTAGATTGTGTCAAGCAGCTTCACATAAAAGATCATAGTAAAAAGAACAGTGTAGTTCAGTTTTCAGAGTTTAAGTTCAATTCAGCATGTTCTCCCAGTGTTCGTGTTTCCTCCGGATTCGGTATAAATGAATTGGGTAAGCTAAATTGTCCGTGGTGTATGTATGTGAATGATTGTGTATGGAGGTTTCCCAGTACTGGGTTGCAGCTGGAAGGGCATCGGCTGCGTAAAAACATATGCTTGATAAGTTGGCGGTTCATTCCACTGTGGCAAACCCTCAATACTAAAGCGACTTAGCAGAAAAAAAAATGAATGAATGAACATTGCTATGCTTCTCCAGATACTTGTAAATTTGGACTGATGTAATTGACGGCTATGTTTTGTTCTATTCTTGGTCAGGGTTATAGAGTTTGTGAGTGGATAAATTTGAAAATTCATAAAAATATTCTAACAAAAAAATTAAAGTTTTTAGTTTGACGTAAAAGTTGACAATGTTGTCAAAATCACCAAAATGAACACTTTACAATTTGTAGAAACACCATGTATATCTGCACACATACTGTACAGTCCTGTAATCTGATATGTTTTGTTTTGTTTTGGTCTATTGACCTTATTTTTCATGAACGTTTTCTGCTGTTTATTATTCCTAGTCATTCTCCTATAGGCAACTGAATCGGTTCAAAAATGAGCTCACGTCCACATTGCAGAATAAGGTCTAATGAACATGTTACACAAATCCATGTCATCATTTTCACAAATTTGCATTTTTAAAGTTTACATGATGATGATGATGTGTTTTATTACCATTAGAAAAGTTTTAGCTCACCAAAATGCTGTGATCATGTAAATAAATAGCTTTAATGTATAAAGTTGTCAATCTTTGCTAGTCGTGTAAATGTACCCCTGGTATACAAGGTACCTGCTTTACATATATTCCACCTCTAATATTTATACTTTTATCTTGATGTTTTAGATTTACAAACTGTTGATATTTTCAGAGAAAGTATGAAGTGACAAGTCATGGCCGCATAGTGTTTGAAAGTTCTGCTGTTCAAAATCTTATTACAGTTTATCATTATTTATTGTTTGACCACACTGCCTTTGTTTATAATATGCATAGAATTTAATTCATAGGAAGTTTTTTGTGTTTATCATTTGATGCCTCCTCTGTTCAATAAAAGCATGATGGTTTAATGTACTTCTGTACTGCTTCAATCATTCATAAATTTGCAGCTGATGTGTAACCCACCTGTCCTACTGCACCTGCCCGCTTTGAGCTTGGATCAAACCAGCAATTCTTTGTATGGGAGTCGGTTCTTCAAACAAGGAGGCTAAAGACCATGGCCTCTATCGCTAGAGCACCTTTAGAGGTCAGCGGAGTGAGGTTTACCTGCATATCACTTCGCTAACTGACCTCCGTTACACTTACCCCTCTAAACCTCCTATCTTGGGAGAACCCCTGTGTGCAACCCACCGGTCCTACTGCACCCAACACGATCTAAGCTGTGATCGAACCAGTGATTCTTTGCATGGACATCAGTTTCTCTAACAAAGAGGCTAAAGACCATGGCCTCTTGTGTGTTGCCAGAGAACTTTTAGATGTCGTCAGAGTGAGGTTTACCTGCATATCACTTCGTTAGCTGACCTCTGTTACACTCACTCCCCTAAACCTCACTCCCATCCCGAAGGAGCCCCCACATGTAACCCACCGATCCTACCGCACCCAGCCCGGTTTGTGCTAGGATTGAACCGGCAATTCTTTGCATGGGAGTCGGTTGCTCTAACAAGGAGGCTTGTTGATCATGGCCTCTAGTATCTGTCACTGGAGCACCTTTAAAGGTCAGATGAGTGAGGTTTACCTGCATAGCACTTCACTAACTGGACACATATACATATTTTGTATACCAACACTGCATTCAGATGATTAAAAATGCAATAAAAAAATAATAACATTATGAAAAAACATTACCATGCTATTGTTTTAATATATTTTAAAAAACAATCCTTTGATATTAAAGCTGAGTTTTCAGCCTCAAGTGTTTTCAGAAATCATAAATGCCTAATTTGATGCTCAAGCAACATTTATTATTATTATCAGTGCTGAACACAATTGTCATGCCTACTTTCTAAAGAAAAAAAACTCTGAATGCTCAGAACACTCATGTTTATACTTGGAAAAGGTGAGCAACAACTCAAACTCTGCGGTGGCTTTCGATTATATATATATCTGCAGCCCCTGCTATGCCTGTTTTTAAAAATAACGCTCTGAAACCTCTTAGAGGTTTTATTAGCATTGAAGGAGCTTATATTAATAACTGCAAGGGCTTTTTTGTCTTTATTTTAAGTCCACATTTCAACACACTGAATAAGCCACCTATCTTGATCATGACATTAAGCACACTGTAGACTTTGTATATAGCTTGAAGACAATGAAAACAAAGCCTCCTCTTCAATTCCTTTCTTTCAGATGATGTTTATTTGACTTGACACCAAAGTCTTACACTGCCAAATGTCAATACGGTGGTGAAAAACAGGTCTTGCTGTGGGACTGTATGTGCATCCATTTCATATTAGAATATATATATTGCCTTCAAAATAATAACAAAGAGAGCAGACTGAGGCACTTTGTCTTTGAGTATTGAACTGAATCCTGTCGCCTCTAAGTTCTTACACTGGCATGTCAAAGCCTTGATAAATGGCTGATGTAAGTTCCGCATTGGCTGAAGGCTAGTCTGTCATGGTCTCCGAAAAGGCTCCTCTACTCCTCTGAGTTTGCTCTAGTCTGTTGAGGATGAACTGGCTTGTGTCGATGAATCGCTCCACACAGTTTACAAAACACACCTCTGTCCTGGAGTCCAGCTTGGGACCAGGTTTATCCATGCACTTCTCCTGCAAACACAAACACACAGTGAGATCCAAGGAAACTCTTGTATGTAATTTCATCAAACCACACCAATAAGTTTTGTATTGGAGTACACAACTTACAACTATGATGATGAAGAATTGCACTAATTCATTATTAATATAATAACAATGTGTAATATATACTTATGTTAACATTTTATTTCCAATATATATTTGTTTATTTTTGGATACATGTAAAATGCAATAAAATATTTGTTTCACTAAAGTACATTTTTTAAAAATACCATCTATTTGTCTATCTTTGACATGGACATATATATGTACTATGAAAATAATATAAATATACAGACAAATATTGTAAATCTGTACACTACAAATAGTCAATAAATTGTAAACCTTTTAGTCAACAATGTTTTTATTTTATGTCTTCATTGTTTGGAGCAATATATCTAGGAAAATGAAATTGTATTAATCACTTCATCTGATGATATATTAAATGACTTAAGGAACACAATTCAACCCCAAAATACTAGTTAACTGTAATTTTAAGTCTTACTTTCCTGCGATTCTACAAGCCATTACATTTCACCTACTTGTCGGTAAGATTGTTTTAATAATATGAAACAAAACTTCTATTTAGGTCTGTTGTTAGCATGTAATTTTGAGCTGTCATCATTAATAATGAAAAAATAAAAATAGAGAAATTCTACACTGTTACACTGTTTACTATAACCAGTATTGTAGG